AAGTTTCAAGTTTACAACAGAAGAAATTACCAAAATAAAGATTCCTTTAAAAAAGTTTTATTATGGTAGTTCCTTAGTTAACCTGGGACCAATAGATAGTGACTTTGGGTGCATTTCTTTCTAACCTAAATTTTGTAAACGTTGTGTGGCATATGTCATCGTTTGCTGAACGCTAAAAAAGTAGAAACAAATACATCGTTTCATAAGTGTTTACTGACCCTGTTTGAACTTTCAATAATGCATGCATGCAAATGTTGTTGGTAAATACTAAACAGACTTATTTTGGTCATAATTAAATGTGGTTCCTTCAACCAACATACCTAATAAATCTTAAGTTAGAAACAAATGTAGCATTTGCACAAACAAACGATGAACGACAAACTGTAGACGCATTTTTAGCGAGTGCATAGTTTGTCAAAGTTTATGTAAATTTCTTTGCAAACGTATGTTAGAAACAAATGATCAAAACATGTGCACGCTTAGCTGTTTGCATCTTTTGTGTTAGAAAGAAATGCACTCTTTGTCTCCAAAAAATTACATATAAATTGTTGCGTTTTTCCTTTCTACTTTAAAATGAATTTTCGTATTGCTGATTGATATTTAAACAAAGTTATGTGACACTGAAGATGAATACTTGCAGTTGTCAGGTGGCATACATGTAATCTGTGTTTACACTTTATACTTTAAAGGTGATTCACAATGGATCAACATTACTTGAATCATAATCTTTTTCTAGTGTCATAAGTGTTCTTCTTAATCTAAATCAGTCTTTTTATTTTTTCCCAATCAAATTTATTAAATTTGAGGACTTTTCTCGGTACATCCCATCCTCTTTTGAGTCTGATTAATTGGTCACAGGATGTAGTTATTTTAGCGCCCATTGTTAACATGATGTGTTGCAAGTAATATATATATATCTCCTTTTTCCATGTTTTTTTTCCCTTTTTCAACTCGAGGCCCACTTACTACTTACATGCTACATTATATTCTAAGGAGAAATTTCCTCTTTTCAGTGCCAAAACATGAAGCATTTAAGTGATTGAAACATGATGAGGACAAAAACATATTTTTTTAACATCAACACAGACCCGCCTCAAAAAAAGAATAATTGAACAAACAAAATATTAAAATAAAGAAATATGGAAAAAGTGGCAAAAAAAAAAAAAGAGAATATTGGGGTTCTAAAATATACAGTTGTGTACATGTACATATTATAACCCTAAACCTGTAGCTATAGAGAATACAGTATTATAGACAAAAAATAAGGAACAGGGGAGAGCGGTTGTTATTTCTGTAGATGTGATAAATTGCCTTGAAGAGGGAAAGAGATAGAAATGAAAAAGTCTTGTCAAATAAACTGTTATAAATTTGCTGGTGGCACTTTATGTTTATTGAAGGTCTTAGATATTTATTATACTCATGTAACCAAAAGTGCATGTTGCATGTTTGTTGGTTAAAAATTGGTTTTATCATGTTAATGCGGATTAAACTTTCCTAAGGTATCACCTTATAAAACCATTATTATACATGTAAGATCATGAAGACAATGGAAATCAAAATTACCCTACATATACATGTACCTGGGATTTACAAACAAATTACAAAAACTTATTAATACTTTTAATAAAGCATATAGTAATAGAGAGAAAAATACAGAAAAATTCAAAAACATAAAAAGCAAGTAAAAATAGAACTATGAACAGGGTATACGTACTGGAACTATAAAGAAAAATTAATTTGTGATTTACCTGTAAATTACGATGCTGATCAACACTTGACATCAAACCAAAAAACTTATTCAGCTATACATGTCTTAAAAGTACAAGAACAGATAGTACAGGTATTGCACCTTTAAAAAAGGATGACATTTTAATAACTGAAACAGAGTAAAAAGCAAACATTTCAAACCAACAGTTTCAATCCATTTTCACAAATGAATCAATTACAAATATCCCAGACAAAGATACTAGCCCACATCTTGAAATGCCACACAAACATCTATTAGAAAAACAGGAGTTAGAAAGTTACTATCTAAACTTAACTATGTGGACCTGACAATATAAATGGTAGAGTACTAAAAGAATTAAAAGAGCAAGTGTCACCAATACTTACATTGTACATTAATATTCATTAAGAAAATAGAGTCAGGTGAAAGATTTGAAGCATGCAAACACTGCTCCTGCATTTAAACTATAGGCTATAAAGACCCTGTGTCGCTCACCTTAGTCTATGTGCATATTCAACAAAGGACACTCTCCAACATTGTAGACGAGAATAGATTTCATGACAAAAATCTCTGTTTTGTTGATCTTGTATTGCTGATCATTTAGTCGGTTTAGTTTCTCTCTATCTTCTTTAGTTTTTCCTCAAAACACAAAAGAGGGAAAAAAAATCCTCATTTAGGGGCAATCACTCCTATAAAGAGTGACAGTCTACTAACTATATTGACAAAATTTGACTTGTTAGTAGATCTTGCCTTGGTGATCAATTTTGTGATTTAAAGTTTCTATTTATCTATTATAATTTTTATCATATGATGCAAAACGCAAAAATAAAAAAATGGTAAAAATCATCATTAAAGAGCAATAACTCCAATATAGAGTCCTTGGATGATTTCCTCAATATAGTCTTAACTGTAGATCTTGTCTTGCTGATCATTTTCGCTTAATTAAGTTTCTATCTATCTATTATATTTTTTAAGATATAAGGCAAAAACGCAAAATTCTAATAAGGAGTTGACTGACAATTTCGACAATACAGACTGATTAGTCATTTATGGCCTTATTGCTATACCATCTGAAATAAAATTACCAAATGACAGCAGAACAAGACAAAATCGCCCAAATACTTACAGACATATACTAACCACAAAGGAAAGATACATGTACATGTATAAATAGTCTTTTTCCTACATACATGAACCATCTTTCAAAGGAACATGCTATTAATAGCCACAGTACAGTCAAACACAGTTGACAGCTTCAGAGCACACCTTACAAAAGATGTTGTCTGTCAACAGATATAAACAAGATACCAAATTTTGTAAATATTGTTAATTTTAATCACTACATGCTGCACATTGTGAAATTTAAATACTATTTGTTTTGTATTTACAAAAGAAATAACTTTTGGTAAATATCATGCATGCAAAATGACAAGAAATCTTCATTATCCTGGTTATGTTGTATACCTGAAGAAGAAGAAGAGTTGCCAATAGATAGTGTTGTTCTGATGATCGGAATAAGTCGGAAATCAGTTGGTTGGGCCTGGCGATGTTGATAATCGATTGGGATTTTGTTCAATCGATTTTCGTTACAGTTTCCGGACTTTTAACATATCAACTTCCGGTCCGTTTCCGTGGTGCATTTTACATGCACAGTCAAACAAATTGTAACGAAAAATATCAGTCGATGACAATATTAACAATGTCAAACATCCTGTAATCAAAGACATAACCAATTTCTTTCTTTATAAACATGGTAAAAGCATTGACTATACAAATTGATCGTATGCTATTTAAAATAAATAACTTTTTATGAAATACTTTCTTTCAATTAAGGTACTTGTTATAATTAGTAGTTGTTACTCGAGAGCGTACATGAAATCATTCTGATTTTAGAGACAAAATAATTTTTTTGCTACATTAGAACGTGGTGCAAATTGCCTTTTATCAATATTTCATCAATTTGTTGCGTAAAAAATGTCATATTCCTTTCCAAATTGCTTGTCAAACATCGTTTATTGTAAATTTTCCCGGTTTGTCCTCCATTGAAATATATACGAATGACAGATCTGAGATCAACTATGTAAGAATTCAGAATTCTTGCAATTATAAGTACAGACGCAGGAATGACACAGCTGACAGAAGAATAATGATCACAAACATGGAAAATAAGCATTCTACACGAATAATAACATATTGGTTGGATCCCCTTAGTTAAATGTATATATATATTTCAATGCTAATGCATTGTTTGTTTTTTTTTTGATTAATTTTAAATTGCTTAAAGTTAAATACTTTATATATCTTTTTTCAATGAGGAGCATTCAAATTTTTATACAGCTATGTATCTGAAATTAAAATGTGAGTAATACCATTGAAATTTAGAAATTTTAGTGTCATTGTTCAAGGTAATAAATGTTGTAATTATAAGACAAAATATGTTCAATCTGAATCTGGATTCTAATTGATTCACTGTTTTAATTTCTAAATAAAATATGAAAAGGAAACAAAAGATCAAATATGAACATATAAAACTCTGCAATGATATGGAATATACGCATTAGACATGTACAATGTCACTAAATGCATGATTTCATTTAAAAAAAGGGCAAGGCATAATAATGCGATTATAACCGATAGCCGGTTGGTTGCTGTCAACCGATAGTAATTGATAATCAGTTGGTAATTTCAACTGATTATCCAACATTATCAATAGACATATTTACACTTGTATGCAAATTTGTTAGCCATGACTTAATATCACACAAGTTCCCGTAAAAGTTGACATCACAATTTAAAAGATTTGAAGTCATAATGAAAAAGTGATTAATACTTGACGTCAGAAGGTTATTCGGAGCAGATCTAAGGTCAATCGGAGAAAAAATTCAGCTAAATACCAAAAGTGTAAAATTATATGTTTATTTAACTAAGTCTAAGAATCGAATGGACTACAACTGTTCAACGACAACGTCTGTTGACGATTTGACCAAATGCCTTTTTAACAAGAGCTGAAGTAACTTGAATTTGCCATTACTGGACATCACAGCAATTCCCGTAAAAATCTAGCCACAAAGAAAAAGCTATTGTTATAGTTCAAGTTTGTCAAATTCTTGGGTCTTGTGTTGCAGATTCATAAATAGCATCATACATGTACTTTGCCAGTCTTTGGCAGATGTTAAACATGTTATTAAAATAAAAATATATATTAAGATTGGCTAAATGAAATTCCAGCCTTGAATACCATATAATTTGGTTTCGATTGCTATTTAATATTTACCTAATCGCTCTCTTGCATTTTCAAGTTTGTGAACTTCTCCTAAAAGATGTAAACAAATAAGTCCCATCGACACAAAAATCAGACCAATAACAATAGCACTTTTTCTCCTGTTTGGAAATGTCATTATCCGTTTACACCATTTCATCTTACATTTTAAAATCAGGGCATGAAAATGTGTAATCCAAATATTACTGTCAAGATGTTCAATGCATAACTTTTCGTCTCCAACACAGCTGAAGTTCTCAAATCGTGTCGGAAACAATTTTTTATGTAAAGTAAGGAATTTAACATTTAGTTTCGTACGAATGTAGGTCAAAGAAAGCAAAAATTGAACAGTTAGCTGTCATGTAGAAATTTTCTTTGACAGCGAACTATGAACAACATTTAGTTTTTATTCAATCTATTTTTATGATACCAAAATAAATCTCGAGAAATCAAAGCACACAGGTTCTAAAAGTTAAGATTTTCTTATGCGCCTAAACTGTCATAGTCAGATATCGATTTTCGCCAAAATTGTCTCCCCATTATGGGTATTGATTTTTTTCAATCAGAAAACAGAAGCCATGGACATGAACCTATCAACAGGTATCGATAAAGAGTCGACCGTCAAAGATTTCGGCAATATTGATATAAGAAGATGCATGTGGTGTGAGTGCCAATGAGACAACTCTGCATCCAAGTCAAAATTTATAAAAGTAAACCATTATAGGTCAAAGTACGGTCTTCAACACGGAGCCTTGGCTCACATCGAACAGCAAGCTATAAAGGGCCCCAAAAATTACTAGTGTAAAACCAGTCAAACGGGAAAACCAATATTGACCTGTTTGTGGGTCTTGTCTTGTGGATCCTTTTTGATATCTACAGTTTCTCTCTGGCTATTAAAGTTTTCAAAATGAGATGGACAATAACCCCAAAAAATGTAAAAAACGTCATGCAAGGACAATAACTTTTATAAGAAGTCAAATGAAGATTTCGGCAAAGTTGACCAATTTGTAGGTCTTGTCTTTCTGATGATTTTCGTTTTACAAAGTTTCTATTTCCACATGATAGGTAAATACGCAAAAAAATGGTAAAAATCGCCATTTTAGGGAAATAACTGAAATAAAGAGTCGACGGACGATTAAAGTCATTGGAATTGTGTGTATATTTTGTCTTGTTGATCATTTATGCAATTTAAAGTTTGGCTGTATCTATTAATGTTTTCAAGATAACAGGCAAAATGGGAAAAAATGGGACAATTCGCCATTTCAAGACAATAACTCCTTTAAGAAATTGCCTGAAAGTTTTGATGTAAATGGTAAGTTGGTAGATCTCAACATTATAAAAATATTTGCATTCTCAGATTTTCTCTAACTATAGCGGTTTTCTAGATAATAACCAAATTTGCATTTTACCCTATGTTATATTTTTAGCCATGTCGGCCATCTTGGTTGGCAGACTTGATCATCGGACAAATTTTTTAAACAAGATACTCCAATGACGATTGTAGTTAAGTTTGGTTTAAATTGGCGAGGCAGTTTCAGCGGAGAAGATGTTTGTAAAAGTTAACGAACGACGGATGCCAAGTGTTGAGAATAGCTCACTTGACCCTTCATTTTAGCCAGGTGAGCAAAAAAATAGTTGTTTTGTGACTATTTTTCTTTAGATAAAAAGATGCACTTTATCTTCGGGAGGTCTTTTTATCGAAATGGACCAAAATTTAATGAAATGGACCGAAATGGAAAAATAATGTATCGAAATTGAGAAATAATGTACCTAAAGGGAGTCATTATATATATATATACCGAAATGGGCAATAATTTACCGAAAAGGGAGCAGCAATGACAATGATGGATTGAAAGTAGCAAAATTTATTTCCCACTGATGTGAAGTTGACCGAAATGTATTTAAACAAAACTGTCTTACTAATATAAAGTAAAATAGCAAAACTACCGAACTCCAAGGAAAATTCAAAACGGAAAGTCCCTTATCAAATGGCAAAATAAAAAGCTCAAACACATCAAACGAATGGAAAACAACTGTCATATTCCTGACTTGGTACAAGCATTTCCTAAAATGTAAAACAATGTAGAAAATGGTGATTAAAATCTAGTAATGTTGACAACCATGTAATTATAATAACGGGTAGCTGAAAAAAAATATATATATATAAAAAACACAAACAAACAAACAAACAAACTTGTATGGCTAAAATGTTTACTAAGTTGCATGAAATCAAATTTGAAAGATATGAAAAATACGGTCGTATATTTCTCAACATAGATGGAATTTCGTCCAAATCAATTAAACGTTGTAATACCCATAGTCGTTCACTTTTATGTAATTTGTCTCTGGTGGAGAGTTGTCTCAATAGCAATCATATCACATTTTGCTATTTTCATAATGAATATAAAAAAAGTGTTTTTATATTATTTGAATTATATCTCCAGGCCATCGTTTCACAAAAAATCGTACGACAATCTTAGATCTTACGTCGGTCGTATGTCAAATCGTAAGTTTTTGACCGTTTCATAAACAATCGTAAGTAGAATTTTATCGTAAGTTTGATCGTAAACTTACGAGTGTTAACAGGCAGTCGTAAGTCAAATCGTAGTGATTCAACCTGTTGGCATTTGGATAAAATCAACAACATCAAATTTTCTTACAGAAAATTAAGTTCCATTAGTTAATCAGAATACATGTATTCATGTTATTTTGTCCCAATCATAAGTAACTTCATTTGTTTAATTCCTGAAATAATCGTAAAACCATTTCTAAATTTGAGTTTATTTTCATTTAAATTAAACGATCGAGCACCTTGTCCTTGCTTCCAAAAGTCCAAATAATTGACCATAAAACTTATAAGTGATTGAGCTAGCACAGCACTATACAGCCAGGGATACATGTATGTGCTTTCAGTTTTGATAACTCATGAAGGGATACGTCGTGCATGTACATAACTCTGTACTACAATTTGTACAAAATATTCTCACACAAGAAAATTAGAAACGCTTATTTACTAGTTCTCAAATCTATGTCATACTATCACTCACGTTTTACACGGAGGTTTATGAAGTTAACAATAAATATTTATGCTGAGCTAAAATTGCAATCATTTCCTATCTATTGTAGTCCTGTGGTTATACTCTATTTCCGCGGTTGACGGTGCCCTTTATTGAATAGAAATTTTTGTAAATACATTACGATTATTTAAAACAAATAACAGTTTAGAAATTGAGAAAACAATAATTGAAAACATGAATGTAATGGTATGAATCCATAGTTTCAATGTAAATACACCAGTTGCCATGCGCTCTATCAGGTTCGCGTTTTTTAAAAGGTATAAAATGTATGCTGCAACCCCGTACTCAATACCTGTTAGGTTCTTTCTGATTTAACACATTTCTATAATTCTAGTTTTAATTGAAAAGTATGATCATTCACTTTGCCATAATGTGATTGTTTTTGTTTATACCTATAAAATATAATTTTCAAATTAAGAATGTTGTAGGCATGAAAATCCTATTTTTTTTAAATCCTAACTATTTTTTTTTTTTTGTTAAGGTGACAAGATTTTTATTTTCAAGCATTCAAGTGGATGGAAGGAAACATTGGAATTTCTCTATTTTTTCAAGTTCCCACCTTGATGAAAGACAGGGGCGTAGCTACCCGGAGGCACGGCAACACGTGCATCCACGTCGTTTTCACAAAAAAAAAATAATAAAAAAAAGAGAGAGTGAGGAACAAAGTTAACATATAGGAATTGGTCTTTCTATGTATGCATTTTAAAAACTACACAAAGAATAAAAGCAAGAGGAATACACATGCAGCGGAATTTTTAATCCTGTAAAACATGTATGTGTACGATAAATACATACAACTGGTGTAAACTTAGAGGAACTGTTTATATTACGGGCATTGTTTAGAAAATACCAGCTACATAGTTGTTGGTACCACAACCATACCGTATACTTGCTTTGAGTGCAAAAAAAACATAATCCCTTTAGGGTTAACAAAAAAAAAACTTGAAATTATTATTTTCCGCTTCGCCCCAAAGCACTCATCTTACTAGAATGAAGACTCTTCAACTCGTATCGATCCGGGAATAATGACTGTTACCTTGTGAACTAGTTCAATATTGACTAAGTATGTAGGTCTTGACAACACGAATAGTTCATTTTCACATCACGTCAACGTATCTCGTCCTGTGTGCCATGATGTAATATTTGCTACCGGACATTAATAACCATTCAATCAATCAATAGTTTCCGTATACTAGTAGATGAGAAGTTGGAACTGCTGTTATTATAAAAAAAAAAGTACACATTATCCAGTACATGTTTTACGTTTTTATTTATTTTACAAAAAAAATCTTTTATATAGATTCGATAATTCGAATTCGTTTCTATATGGACCGGCTATACGAATGGTTGATTGTAAAACCATTTAAATAAATTGGTAATTCCAACTCGTTTTACTGGACTATTTGGTCATTCAATTTAAAAAAGAACTGTCTGTCCGAGTAGGACACTAAACTGCTGATTCTTGTTCGAAAGATACACCAAACTTTTATTACACGTATCTTCACTGTTATCATCTAGATATTGCCATACAACTGGTCGAATGCATATGCATTTGTTAATTAGCTGGCTAATTAAAAACGCAGATCATGAAAAAGATCGTGATCAAAGTACCATTTACTCTGAAAAAGTTCATTAATTTCAACTTCGAATATTCCTAACTACGTAAAATTCGAAATTCCCATCTCTCTCTTGTAGAGTTTACCCACAAAATTTTTAAACATCTAAATACATATGTTAAGCAAAATATTTGAGAATGTGTCCACCAAGTATTTGGTATCCATAATGTTTTGCTAACAGAAACTCCACATATAGTATTGTGTTTATGTTTATTGTTTGTTTTTTTTTAAATCTACTTTGCTCAATACAAATACTAGCATACTAACAAATCTCCGTGATTTTAAAAGCTTTCACGTACAAAAAACGCAAGCGGCAATGTTAAGTCTTCATTCGACTCGAAGTTTAACAAATAGTTGACCAAAAAACCATAACAAAAATGTCCAAGTTTTATTTCGGTTGTGATTGTTTTGAAACGCTATATATGCGGAGGTTGCGGGGGCTCCGCCCCCCTGGCCCCCCTACCAGGGCTTTGTCTCGCCCTACATTTCGTGATTCCACTTCATTAAAAAGGTAGCTACGCCCCTGAAAGAAAATAAACTCAAGTCCCCACTTTCAAAGACATAAAAATTCACCCCTCCTCATCAAGTTCTCAATACTAATTATTATTATTATTATTATAGCTCTCTTCAGTTACAAATGACCAGCCCCCAATCAAAATGAAGCAAC